AATTCACTCGATGATTAGTTCAAACATGTAGTCAAGACTCCTCTCTCGATTAAATCTTAACTCTACGAGGTGAACTAATATAAGCACTATGAAAGTATGCAAGCATGCTTTAATGGATTAGTCTTTAGGAAAATATCTCTTGACTATTTTCCTAACTTGATTCAATCAACAATTCAACATGCTCTTTCGATTACTTAAGAGAATCACTGAATTAAATTAAATAAAATAATGAAAAGACAATTACCAAAATATTCCTCTTTCGATGAAATAAACTGGTGAATAAAGTTGTAACAATTCAAAGCTCCATAGACGAATTCAAGCAAAGAACTAGAGTTAAAATCCACAAATATTTTTCAAAACACCATATCCGTCAAACCCTAAGGAAAATTACTCTGTATTCATGGAGGAAGTCATCACAAATACAATTAAAGAATAAGAAAACATCAATATACTCCATATTAAATGTTGTACTTAACTCAACTTGTGTGACCAACTCTCGTTGCATCGCTCTCCAAAACTGCGATGTGAACTGAGTGCCTCAATTTGAGATGATAGAAATGGGTACACCATGAAGGTGAACAATCTCGCGAATATAAATCCGAGCTACCTGCTCTTAAGAGGAGGTAGTCACAACTGGAATGAAATGTGTAGACTTGGTCAATCTTTCCACAATGACACATACTGCATCAAATTTCCTCGAGGTCCGTGGAAGTCCAACTATAAAATCCATCATGATATTTTCCCACTTTCACTCCGGAATGCCAAGCCTCTAAAGCAAATGACCGAGTCTCTGATGCTGGTACTTCACCTGCTGAAAATTCAAACACCAAGCAACATACTTAATAATATCTTTCTTCATCCTTCGCCACCAATAGTGCTGCCTAAAATCCTGATACATCTTCGCGGCACCCAAATGAATGGAATATCGCAAACTATGGGCCTCCTCAAGTATCAACTCTCGCAACCCATCCATATTTGGAACACAGATCTGACCCTGCATCCTCAGTACCCCCATCATCACCAATAGTAACCTCTTTAGCATCACTGTGCAACACTGTGTCCTTCAGGACAAGCAAGTGGGGATCATCGTACTGACATGCCTTGATGCGCTCAAACAAAAAAGACTGCAAAACTATGCAAGTAAGAACCCGACTAGGCTCTGAAATATCCAACCTCACAAACCGATTGGCCAAATCCTGAACATCTAATGCTAATAGTCTCTCCCTAACTGGAATATAAGCAAGACTCTCCATGCTCCCGACCTTCCAACTCAAAGCATTATCTACCACATTGGCCTTCCCCAGGTCATAAAGAATGGTGATATCGTAGTCCTTTAGTAGCTCCAACCACCTCCATTGCCTCATCCTTTTGCTTGAACAAGTGTTGAAGACTCCTATGATATATGAAAACCTCACAAGAAATGCCGCAGATATAGTGCCTCCAAATCTTCAATGTGTGAACAATGGCTGCCAACTCCAAATCATGTACAGTGTAGTTCTTCTCGTGGGGCTTCAACTGACGCGAAGAATATGCAATCACTCTACCCTCCTGCATCAAAACACATCCACTGCCAATCTATGAAGCATCACAATGAACGGTATAAGAACCCGATCCAGAAGGCAAAACCTAAACTGAAGTTGTAGTCAAGGCAGTCTTGAGCTTCTGAAATCTCTCATCACACTCCTCAGACCACCTGAATGGGGCACCCTTCAGGGTCAACTAGTCAAAGGTGCAGCAATGAAAGAGAAACACTCCACAAAACGACAATAATAACCAGCCAATCCAAGGAAACTCCGGATCTCAGTAGCAGAAGATGGTCTGGGCCATCTCTGAAGTGCCTCAATCTTCTTAGATCTACATTAACCCCTTCAGCTCTAAGCTGGGAGTGAACTAAAAGATGACTGAAGCGGACGACTACTGTATGAACCGTGGCTAGCTGATGATCCACGAGGAACCTGACAAGCCATCTGAGCGGGCCCTAAAAGGACGACCTCTGATGTGATGTGACTGGCCTCCATATGAGGCACTACTAAAACCACCTAACTCACGGGGCCTCTTGCCCTCTCGCTCCTCGCGCTCAAGCATGCGAACTTGCTTCAAGCGCCTCACAATGTCGACCAACTGGTCAAACCAAGCATCCGTCTCGGTCTCTCGAGCAAAACTATAATGTAGACCATAGTTGAGGCCATCAATGAACCTCCAAATCCTCTCTCTTTCTCTCAATAGGAACCAACCATATAGCATGACGGGCCAAATTTGCAAACCTCATCTCGTACTGAGTCACAGTCATATCTCCTTGGCGTAGCTGCTCAAATGCCCTATACAACTCCTCTCTACGAGTTTGTTGAACAAACTTCTCTAAGAAGAAAATGGAGAACTCATGCCACGTAAGTGGTGCTGTGCCAGCTAACCTGCTCAACTCATAAGCCTGCCACCTTCTATAGGTTGCCCCTGTCAGCTGAAAAGTTGTAAATGCAACTCCACTAGTGTCCAAAATACTCGTGGTGCGAAGAATCCACTGACATCAGTCCAAAAAGTCCTAAGCATCCTCTGACTCCCCTCCGTTGAACCCTAGCAGATCAAGCCTCGTGCACCGCTCTAACGTCTTCTGCTCATCATCAGTCATATGTGGACCAACCTCGGCCCGAGCAGCAACAACTGGCTGAACTAATAACACCCATGGTGTCTGATAACCTTGAGCTAGCTATATTGGAGTACGGACGGCGGGAGTCTAGGCTCCTCCCCAAGCCTATGAGGTAGCTGGTGCACTTGGCATCGAAACCATACGTGCCAAACCCGTGCACACACTCAAAGTCTTAGCCAAAGCCTCTTGAAGACCATGTATCACAATAGGTACCACCGGTGTTTGAGTTTGTCCCACCGGTTCAACAGTATCCGGTACCTGCTCCTCCATTGAAGAACCTGGTGGCTCCACATGTGTTGCCTTCACTGTAGTGCAAGCCCCAACTCGGCCTCTACCTTGGGCCCGGCCTCTCGCGGCCTTGACTGGTGGTACTGGTGCTTGATCAACTGATCGTGTCTTCACCATTTGTGAGAGAATAGAAGAATAGGGTTTAGACTTCAGAATTAACAAATTTGCACGATAAAAATGCAACAAAGTGAAGTTTCCTAATAGCATGGTAGCCTCTTGAAGATAAGTACAAACGTCTCCGTAGCAATCCGCAAGCTCTAACAAACTTGCTCATAACTCGTGAGACCTAAGCAACCTAGTGCTCTGATACCGACTTGTCACGACTCAACTTCCACCGGAGCCGCGTTTGCTCTAACACTACTTGCTAGGCAAGACAATAGTCACATAATAACAACGAATTTGAATAAACATGGTTTAACAAACTTAACAACGGAAAATCATGAAATAACTGATGAATACAGTCACAATACTGCTACAACCATCCCAATGATCTAGTGTCAATGAGTACATCAGCAATATTGAGTATCAAAATACAAGACCAAATCCTCAATATAACTATCACAATAGTAGAACAGTAATAACAGAAATAAATGAAAGAGAACTTCAAGGTCTGTAGATGACATAGAAGCTACCTCGCGATCTCCGAAAATCCTAGTATCAACACAACAAGTCACCACGTCTGGAAGTACCTGGATCTGCACACGGAGTGCAGAGTATAGCATGAGCACAATCGACCCCATGTACTCAATAAGTAACATATCTAACCTTAGACCAATATGAGCCTGGCGCACGCGTCACCTCAAAATCGATATCAAATTGGCTTAAGGCCCAACCTCAGTCATCAACTGCTCAAGCGTAAATTAACCACATCTCACAGTACTTAATTCAACGATGTTACACATAAGAGGCATCAACAACATGCGAAAAAACAAATAAGAAAGTACTGAAACGGAGATATCATACACAAATATAGCATCATGATTGAGAGTATGTGTACAATTAAGGCAAGTAGCTCAGAAACAACAAGTATAACCTTATCATGTCTCAAACAACTAGCACATAGACTAGATGTTACATCCCGTACCTTAGTATTAGGATGTGCCGTAGTATATTCACATGAATTAGAAGGGATTATGTCTATTAAGAGGTTATAGAGGAAAACTGGGGTTTGAAGATTTTATGAAATGAACCAGGTTTATGTTGAAGGATGGAGAAGAATAAAGCCTTTAATTATATGTAGTTGGAGGACTTATCAAAAAAAGAGAGAAATAAAAAGGAGATGTTGGAGGATTAATACTGACTCCAAATTACATAAAGTTTTACGTTTTAACAATATGATGATAAGCAAGGCTTCTGTCCAAGTGAAATGGTAGTAAAAGCTAACGGTTTAGGCTTCTACTGTTTGTGCTTTCCGTTGCAACTTTGATACCGTCAGATATTATGTTAGTGTGGTATTTTTTTTTAAGTGAAGTATTTTAGTAAAAGTTTTATTAGTATAATTTTGGATAGTTACCATTATTATTATTTTCGGATATGATAAATTATACACATAATATAAGAAAGTTTATGAGATTTTCTTTATTATAAAGATAGAAATTATTTTCTCACAAGAAAAGAAGGTTATCCTTTTTACCATTTTAAGAATTAAGTGTACGAGAATTTTTACTCTTTATATGAGATTAGGAAAATTATAAATTGAGAAAATATATGTATTTTTTACATTGATGTTTTAGTAAAATAATAGTGTATGTATTTGTTTTATTAGGTACCATATAACCATGGTAGTATGATGTATAAAGTATATTAAAAAAAAATTAAATTTTAAGTAATTTGAGATAATTCTTAATTATGCGGGTAATTGGTTAATTACCGAATAGCGAGATATTACTTAATTAATTAATTAGTTATAGGATAATATTAAAACCCCTCCCCCACCCCACGTGGCATCAAGCCACCACCTAAACCAAATGACTCATTAGTCATGATTGGTTAGGTGGCAATTAGTTAAGCTAACATTCATAATTTAATAATATTTCCTAGTATCTTAAGAAGCATTTCAGACAAGTTAACGACCAGTCCATTGCAGAGTCTCACGAAATCCCTATATAACACAGTTTGATAGAATCCATGCTTCTTCCTCCCATTACTCGATCTTTCTCATTCCACTCCAGGTTCAGGAGACTAATTTCGTCGAACTGCAGAAATTCAAAAATGGGTCCAGAAAATCTGAGTCTAATTGATAAAAGACATCGTGCAAGTTTTCGGCTATGCAGCGTTTCAGGGTATCGTTGCACTCTCACTGTCTTTTGACTCTTAATTTTTTTATTTCTATTTGTAGTTTAACGCAGATAAGGGATGTTGATTATGTGTTTCCATTCTGTTTCCACACAGTATTACGAATATGGATAAACACCAATGTGATTGAGATAGTAGAAGACACTGTTAATTTGGACCCAATTGTTGGAGTTGCAATATGAAGCACATTCATCATTCTGTATAGTGGATTTATGTTTTACTAATCTAGTTCGTTTGGTGTAGAAATTATCATCATACTTTCCTTTTTATAGTGTTCCTAAAAAGAATGTCATATTTCCTTTTTTTTTTTTTAAAATAAATTAACTTTAACTTTCAAGATAAGCTAATCAAGATCCTTGATTTCTTTTGTACTTGTGTATACCTCATCATTTCTTAAGAGTTGGGGCCAACTATTGAGTACATGGTGATACTGTAGTTTCTTTACATGATATGCAATAATGGTGAATCTTACCTCTAAGTTGATATCTACTACATGGTACACCCTGGCTTTACGAAAACTGGTGGCATATTCAGTGTTAAACTGTCACACAAAGACGTATATCATAGAAATTCTCAAACTTACACCGCTCCCTCGTAGCTCAGGTAGGTGAAGGCTATCCCTTCTTTCTTTTGGCATGATCCATAATGAAACGTGCTATTGGACAATTGTTATTATACTGTATTTGTAATATAATTCTGGAAATATAAATGAACATAAACAGAAATGAACATAAACAGAAAACCAATTCGAGCCCACTGAATTCACAGTGTTTCCTTGAGGAATTTAATCCCCTCCTAGTACCCAAGGTTATGGATTATTTCCTCCCAGGATAGAACGAATTACACACTGGTGTAGTGGTACTTCAAACCCCAGTGTTTCAGCGAACACAAAGTTCGGTAGCAAATCACACTTACTTTTTACTTTGTTTGATGCTAAAAGTATGCAGAAGAAGGAGAGAAAACTCAGAAAATCGTAGTGAAATTCTGAGCAGAATAATGTTGTATTTATAGCCAAAGTTGGGCTGAAATCTGAAGAGGTGCATCTCTTCAGAATGGCTGTTTATACAAAACTGCCACAGCATAAATGCCATTACATAAATGGCCATTTACTTAACAATAAAGAGGGAAAATAAAGAGGAAAAATTGAAGAGGTTAGTTACTTTTCTGTTAATATTTTACTATTAACAAATAAATGATCCAAAAAGTTAATCAATCAATCGATCATTTGACCAAATCCGAATCCGAATCCGAAGCCGAAGCCGAAGCCGAGCCGAGAGACGACGACGACGGCGCGAGGCTTGTCTTCTTCTCAACTCTTTAAGAGCTAGAAGAAGAGCAATTGCTTATATACCCATAATAAACCTCTTCCTCTTCCAATATGGGACACTGTCCATTTGCCAAGGGGGGAAACTTAAAATTTCACTCAAAATTTCATTTTCCTCCATTTCCCATTCACCCTCTTTTAAGTATTTAATATATTAATTAAATACAACAAAAATCCAACAATCCCCCACATGAATGGGGAATGGCTATATCACAGAAGTATGCATGAAAAACTGTGTGATTCGCAAGCAAGGATTAATTGCATCTGGATAAGTAGATTTCCTTTTGAACTTTCCGTAGTGAACTTATGTCGGATATACTCGATCAATCGGTAGATTTGATATCTTTGAACCGTCGAACTTTGGTGTATACCTAGACAACCACAAGTCACACAACCAACTCTTAACTGTCTTTGATTTTCATTGTTGTGTTCGTTTCAGCCATGAACACCGCCTGGTTTCATAAGTGCGTAGAGAACTGGCCTTACAAAGTTCTCCTTGAAGCGGCTAACACTTCACACTTACATAGGTGATTCCTAAGCGTGTCATCCCGTAGATACACTATTTGATATACCCCGTATCAAATTTAGAAATCATTAAAAAACCTTAATGCTTTATCCTTGGTACTGAACATTGTCTCATCGCGAGAATGGACCAAAAGTTTAGTTGACAATGTTGAACCGTCATTAATGACTTTGTTTGATCTCCTTGAACCTAGATCTTGGGATCTCTAGTCTTCTAGGTAGAGTTACCGCCACTATGACTTGTTCTCGGCCACAGTCCCATTCCCCTTTATGACTTTTCAACTAGCTCTCTGGTTAGGCCTTTTGTAAGTGGATCCGACACATTATCACTTGACTTTACATAGTCATTCGTGATAATTCCTCTAGAGAGTAATTGTCTAACAGTTTTATGTCTTCGTCGTATATGACGAGATTTACCGTTATACATAATGCTCCCAGCCCTTCCAATTGTCGCTTGACTATCACAATGTATGCATGTTGGTGCCAACGGTTTGGGCCAAAATGGAATATCTTCCAAGAAACTCCGGATCCATTCAGCTTCTTCACCGGCTTTATCCAAGGCTATGAACTTAGCCTCCATTGTAGAGCGGGCAATACAAGTTTGTTTGGACGACTTCCAAGATACCACTCCTCCACTAATAGTGAATACATATCCACTTGTGGACTTGGAGTCAGTTGATCCGGTGATCCAATTTGCATCACAATATCCCTCAATGACCGCAGGATATTTACTGTAGTGCAAAGCAAAGTCCTGGGTATGTACTAAATATCCCAAAACTCATTTCATGGCTATCCAATGAGATTGACCTGGATTGCTCGTATATCGACTCAATTTAATTATAGCACAAGCTATATCTGGTCGTGTACAATTCATGATGTACATTAAGCAACCCAACACACGAGCATAATCCAATTGTGATATGCTTTGTCCTTTGTTCTTTGCTAATGCAAGATTCGCGTCAATTGGAGTCTTTGCAACTTTGAAGCTCAAGTGCTTGAATTTTTCAAGTACTGTCTTAATATAATGAGATTGTGACAACGCCAGACCTTGAGAAGTCTTATGGATCTTAATTCCCAGAATTATATCAGCAACTCCCAAGTCTTTCATATCAAACTTGCTAGTTAGCATACGCTTAGTAGCATTTATGTTGGCAATGTCATTACTCATTATGAGCATATTATCCACATATAAGCAAACAATGACTATGTGATTTGGAACATTTTTAATGTACACACATTTATCATATTCATTTATCTTAAATTCATTTGACAACATTGTTTGGTCAAATTTTGCATGCCATTGTTTGGGTGCTTGTTTTAGTCCGTAAAGGAACTTAACAAGTCTACAGACCTTCTTTTCTTTACCTGGAACCACAAACCCTTCAGGTTGTTCCATGTAGATTTCTTCCTCCAACTCTCCATTTAAGAAGGCTGTCTTTACATCCATTTGATGAATTTCAAGACCATAAACTGCAGCTAACGCTACTAATGTTCGTATGGACGTAATTCTTGTAACTGGAGAGTATGTATCAAAATAGTCAAGAACTTCTCGTTGTCTATACCCTTTGACCACAAGTCTTGCCTTATATTTGTCAATAGTTCCATCATCTTTCATTTTCCTCTTAAAGATCCATTTAGAACCCAACGGTTTATTTCCAGGAGGAAGATCAATCAATTCCCATGTATGGTTGTTCAATATGGATTCTATTTCACTATTGACTGCCTCTTTCCATAACAATGATTCCGAAGAAGACATAACTTCTTTAAATGTTTGATGCTTATTTTCCAATAAAAAAGTCACAAAATCTGGTCCAAATGAAGTAGACGTTCTTTGACGTTTACTACGTCTTGGATCTTCTTGGTTAAGTGTACTTTCTTTTGTTTCTTCCCGAGGTCGTTTAGATCCTTCACCAATCGACTCACATTCCTTTTTATACGGATATATATTTTCAAAGAACTCAGCATTATCTGATTCTATAACCGTATTATTATGAATGTCGGGATTTTCTGATTTATGAACCAGAAATCGATATGCTTTACTATTAGTCGCATATCCTATGAAAACACAATCAACGGTTTTCGGTCCTATTTTTACCCTTTTGGGTTTAGGAACTTGCACTTTTGCCAAACACCCCCACACTTTAAAATAATTCAAGTTGGGCTTCCTTCCTTTCCATTTTTCATATGCAATGGATTGTGTTTTGCTATGGGGTACTCGATTTAGTATTCGGCTAGCCGTAAGAACGGCTTCCCCCCACAAGTTCTGTGGTAAACCAGAACTTATCAATAATGCGTTCATCATCTCCTTTAATGAACGATTCTTTCTTTCTGCAATCCCATTGGATTGGGGCGTGTAAGGGGCCGTTGTTTGATGAATAATTCCATATTCTAAACATATTTGTTCAAAAGGAGATTCATAATCACCACCCCTATCACTTCTTATCATTTTGATTTTCTTGTTAAGTTGCGTTTCAACTTCATTTTTGTATTGCTTGAATGCGTCTATTGCTTCATGTTTACTATTAAGTAAGTAAACATAGCAATATCGAGTACTATCGTCAATAAAAATTATGAAATACTTCTTTCCACCGTGAGATGGTATTGACTTCATGTCACAAATATCTGTGTGAATTAAGTCTAAAGGATTTGAATTCCTTTCAACCGACTTATAAAGTTGTTTAACATACTTAGATTCCACACATACTTGACATTTTGATTTGTCACATTCAAACTTGGGCAATACTTTCAAATTAGTCTTTTTCCGTAAGGTTGTATAATTGACATGACCCAAACGTATATGCCATAATTCATTTAAGACGAAGCTGAAATTTTATTATTATTTTCAACAACCATTACATTCAGCTTGAAAATGCCTTCGGTGAGGTAACCTTTTCCTACAAACATTTCATTCTTACTTATTACAACCTTATCGGAAACAAAAACACATTTAAAACCATTCTTAACAAGAGTCCAGTAGAGACTAAATTCTTCCTAATCTCGGGAACATGAAGGACGTTGTTCAAAGCCACCGCTTTGCCGTAAGTCATTTTGCGAAATATCTTCCCATATCCTTCAATCTTGGCCTTTGAAGCATTTCCCATAGAAATCGTCTCATCGGGTCCAACAGGAGCATAAGTAGCAAAATCTTCTCTAACAGCACAAACATGGCGAGTGGCTCCAGAATCTATCCACCACTCTTTAGGATTGCCTACCAAGTTGCATTCGGAAAGCATGACACATAAGTCATCAACATCATCATGCTTTTCAACCATGTTTGCTTGACCCTTCTTCTTGTCCTTCTTCGGAGCACAACACTCCGTAGATTGTGTCTGGTTTTTCCACAGTTGTAGCAGTTTCCACGAACCGCTTCTTGCTTGGGTTGTATTTCGGTCAGAAGCCTTCTTCCTCTTTTTGTTCTCTT